CAAACTTTACCCCCTCCCCCGGCCTTGGGGGGGTGATGAGAATTTAGAATTAAAAGAGGACGAAAAACTTCTCTTCACTAATGTTGAACAGGTGGAGTTATTATTTTTGCTTAAGTATCTGATTTTTTTTCTTCAATAGGACTTTTCTCGGATTGCATCAGTATGTACAATCACGAGTTGAGAAACGCAAAATCTTACAGGAACTACTGCAGAGCAAGGAAGAAGAATTGGTAAGTGTAACAACTTTCCGAGGTAGTCACGAATGCATCCGATACTTGTTCGTTGATCCAAGGGGGGGCTTCGGAGGTAACGAGAACCTTTCGAAGTTTGTCCGTCGTTATTTAGATTCGGACTCGGAAATACCGCTCAGGATGTTTCACTTGCGAGGAAACCGTGGCTATTTTATCGCAATTAGACTGTTTACTTTGCAACCAAAAAATGTTATTCCGTTATCTTTTTTCTTGTTTTTATTCATTATTTAAAGTTGTTTTGTGTAGTAATTAGCACTCAATCGTCCACCGACGAATCAACTATGGTTTAGTTGCTATGAAGACCAGGGGGGGTATTGGATTTTAAACGAGAGAAGATGAAGTTATGTGTACCATTAGTGAAAGAAAGAACTAAAGTTTTCGCAGCCGCAAGTTTAAACACAGAAACTTTTTTTTTTGACAAATTAATGTTTTTGTCAATTTTTTTTGCTTCCAGGTATCAAACTCCTTCAAAACTTGGAGAGAAAGATTCCAACGCAGTATGAGAAACCTAGAAGTCCTGGAGGAGCATCTTCAGAAGAAAGAGTCTGAGTTACTACACTATTGTCTTGTGGGGGGGGTGAAATACATGCTGCGATGCAAAGCAGAAAAATCTTACGAGAAAAAACTCGTACACAAGGTCAGTTTACGAAGTTGGAATGTGGATTGGTTCTTTCAGGGGGGGGCGGCACTAATTTTAAAGGCTTACAAAACTATAAAAGATAAAGGAAGGATCTCGGACAGAATGAAATAGTTCTTGAGAAATTTATCAGTATGAACTGTTGGGGGGGGACTGAGTAACAATATTCATGTAAAGAACCTTGGTTAAATATATCTTATTAGACGTTTTGTTGTGTAGTATCGCTGAGTATTTTTACGAGCTCTTAGGGCGGGGGGGAATACAAACAACGAATAAAAACACTCAGCGATACTACTCAACAAAAGGGGGGGTAAGAAATATATTATCCAAAACGTGAAATTGTTATTTCAGGTTTTTTTTTATGACCTCTATCAGCCAAACCCACGACATCTGCCGGTTTGCAGTATGTCGGGGGGGCTCAAGCTTAACCTTGAGAAGTGAAACTGAAAATACTAGTTTAAATTAGTCTGGAGTTGATATTCGATTTTGTTAGATGTGCATAGTCTCAGCTAAACGTCGCTCGAACACGACACAGTTGTAAACAGCAGTCAAACGTCGGGCATGCGCAAGGGGATCTGGCCGCCTGCGCGCCAATTTCCCGCGCAAAGTTTCGAACGAAGACAGAAGAAACAGCCGCTGTCTCGCAAAACAAGCGAAAATAAAATTAAAACGTTCATTGAAATCTGTAAAATGGAAACAAAAGTAAGGAAAAAGAAATCTCGAGACTTTTCGAACACAAAACCTATTCAAGTCTGGGGCGGATCCAGGGGTGGTTCGGGTGGGGGGGGCGAACCCCCTAAATTTTCCCTCAGAAGGCTGGAAATCATGTTTCCGGGGGGGGTATTTTCAAAATCTTGGACCCCTCAGAAGGGGAACAATTCACCGAAGGGGGGGTGACTAAATCCTGGATCCGCCCCAGCAAGTACAGTTATCCTGTTGATTTACCATTCTGCAATGAGCTTTACCAAAAAGGTTATACGCTTTTAAAACAGCGGGGGGGACTGGTTGGTGTTGGAAATTTGTAACTCATGCGAGACAACTTGGTTGGGGGGGCCTGAAATACGCGCAACGCCTACATGCGTAGGCGTTTGACAGCTGTGTCCACAAACGGAGACAATCCGCCACCAAAAACTGTGGTTTGAAAAATCATGGGGGGGGGCAAATATTTGTCTATTTTTCCTTGATATTTTTGAGTAGCGGTGTCTTTTAATCACAGTTTTGTCTTTCTGTTTCCGTTAGTGTTTTTCAAGATGGTGGTTTGCATTGTACACCAAGAAGGGTTCTGAAAAACTCCAAGAGGTAAGGATTTCAGGGGGGGTTATTCTCTGGCAAAAAAATCGAGAAAATTGGAGGGTGAAAGTATTGGGGGGGCTCTCGCCTTTTTCTTTGGAGAGCTTTGCTGGATTTTAGGCATTTCGGGGGGGTGAAAATGCTATGAATGGTTCTGTGGAAAACATGGCTCAGTGTCCAGAAAGAGTTCGCTCGTTCCCGTGCTCTGTCGTGAATACCAAAGTACATTTGCAGGGGGGGTTTTTATTGGTGCTAATTAACGAGAGAGGGTCGCTGATGTGTCTTTGGGGGGGTTACAATTTGCAGAAAATGCTTATCAGAAAAACTCGAGAAGCTGGTCGACACTGGAAACAATGGACGATTAGTGAGTAAACGGTGTTTATTGATCAGAAGTTTTTTGTTAAGTGTCGCACTTTGTCTGTGATTTCATCGTTTTTATTTCACCGGGGGGGGTGATTGGTCGAGAAAAAGCGCGCCTCCTTTCTCAACCAATCACATGGGGGGGTACAGACATTTTCAATTGGGCGTCGCAAGTAATTCAGCTTTGCTTTGGGGGGGCTTTACTTCGCTCTGTGATTGGTCCAGAAAACTCGCGCCACCATCTCATCCAATCAAATGGAAGACTGAAATTAATCCCAACACTTGCGTTTTTCCGCGCTTCAAACAGGTTACCCGTTTTTATTTTGAGTTTTTCATTGGATAATGATGATGGGGGGGTTTGTTGTGATTGGTTTTAGTTTTTCGATACTCAATTAAATACTGCTTTAAAAGCAATCGTGACTTGATTGCTCGCGTATTTCCGTCGTTCGGGCAGTTGGGGGGGTTTAGTTTTGTTGTTGTTTTTTTTCTCCTGAACGACCCTTCTGATTACTTTGGTTTTGGTTTTTGCAAAATACGGTTGAAAGTTACTTTTTGTAACAGCGGGGGGGATTGCGTGTTTTCCGTTCACAGAGGTTAAGAAACAAGCTGAGATGGCAGACGATCTTCAAACAAAACATGGCCGACATTTGGTACATTCATACTTTGTACAGTGGACGGAAAAAACGCGGCAGATGCAACAAGCAAAGGATTTGCACAACCGCACAGTATTAAAGAGGTTTGTTGCAACTAAAACTTGCGTTCTTCAAGATTTAAGGGGGGGGCGGGCTTATTATCATACAACAAACTCAAAATGTTGACCAATACCTGGGGGGGTTGTTGCGTTTTATTTGCCGCAGGTCGCTTGCAGAATGGCGCCAAGAGTCAAGAAGGAAAATAGATGAACGAAAGAAAATTAAATCTTTTCAAGAACAGGGGGGGGATAAAAAGGTGTGTTACGAGGAATTCCGAAGCGCTTCTTGCTTTCTGAAACTGTATAAATTTGGAAACGTCGATTTTGTGACTTCGTGTTTTACTGTGAGGGGGGGGGCTATTTCCATCACGAGTATTCCTTTTCTTTTTTAAACTTTTGCCAGGTTTCTCGCATGTTCTATGACTGGCGCGAGGCGCTTAAAGTCGTCCGCAAGCACAAGGAGCTGATAGACGGACAGATGGTTCATCACAACAGACGAGTTAAACAGGGATGTATGTGGGAATGGAAAAAGTTTACACAAAAGAGCCGCGCGGAGAAGCGGGGGGGCAAGACAGTCACATCTAAGGTTTAGATTTGTTACAGTCTATAGAGCTTTATTTCGCTTTGTGATTGGTCCAGAAAATTCGTGCCACCCGTCAACGAATCAGATGCTAAACTAAAACCAATTACGAGTTTGTCAACCGCGTTTTCCCGCGCTTGGGGGGGCTCTGAGTTCTCATTGGCTCCTTCTGACATTTCCTTCGCTCTGATTGGCCGTTGTATTAACTTTGGTGGTGGCTCTACCGTACGACATTCAGTTGAGATGCGCTGTAATTGTGATGTTCCGTAATATTACCTTACCTGACGTACTGGAAGATGGGGGGGTGTTTACAGTTGTATGTTAACCTCACATTATCCACTATTGTTTTTCGGGGGGGTGTTTGATTCAGTTTTTCACCAACTGGAAAGCAAGGACAGAACTGAGGGGGGGAGAGAAACAAAAAGCTGAGGTAATTCTACTCTAAAACCGTACTTTTGGGGGGGACATTGTTCGCGCGCTCTGTGTGGCGCATCTTCTTACGGTTCGCGAATTTTTTAAACATGCCCTCTTAAAATTTGTTCCTGTTTATCGCAAGCAGATCCTAACGTTCGCGTGCAGATAAACGTTTTTTCAGCCTCTCATGAGTTTTCGATTGTATTTATAGTACTATAAATAAGTTCACATTTGGTTCCAAATCGGCCTTCAAGTCGTGTAATATGAATTTATTTCGTTGCAGCAACAAGAGGAAATCGCCAACAAACGGGGGGGGAGAACATTGAGGTAATATGAGAGCAAAGGAAATGATCGTTAACCAACGAAGCTCTTGATTGTTTTTTAAATTTTACCTGTTAAAACCACAGGAAATGCGTAGAGAACAGTATAGAGAACTGAATATGCATACTGTTTTTAGAGTACAAGGGTTGAAGAGTCTTGGTTTGTGGCTTTGGGAGGAAATTAGTGGTTCGGTTCGTTTGGGGGGGAATTTTGACTGTGATTAAGGAATTATATCTTACGCTTTTATCTTTTGTTATCTTCAGCAAAATGTGTTTCCGCGCCTGGTTTCATGACACAAAACTTGAGGGGGGGAAAAGAAAGAAGGGAGAGCATATTGTAGAGAAGCACTTCATGATGTGGAAGAAGAGAATTGACTTGAACTCGATCGCCACTGAAATGGTGAGACCTGATGGGGGGGGTATTGCGCTGAACGTCGCCCGGTTGAGGAGACGCTCACTTGGTTTCTACACGTTGCCACTGAAAACACCTTAAATTGAAGAAGACAAAAAGCTTTAACAACTTGAGTTCCAATTACAATGGCAGTAATCGTTTGTCTCGCGAAGTAGGTACTATCCATGTGGATCATTGCCAGCGGGCAGGCTCTGCATCGGGGAAGGTTTGGTACGAGTCTAGAAGATTCTTGCCGGGGGATCTGGCACCAATAATGATCAGTTCCGGGGGGGGGGCTTTGTAGTCTCCCTCGCAGCCGTTTTTAGTCTCGTCACGCACGGGGGGGGAGGAGCGTTGCGTGACGAGACTAAAAGCGGCTGCGAGGGAGACTAGGGGGGGTGTGGATCGCGACAGAAAGATAAAAAGAAGTTTGGGAAATAATCGAGGGGGGGAGAAGGAAACTAATTCTTAAACTAAGTTTGACTTTATTTTATTTCATTAGTACTTTTAACTTTTTCAGGTTGATCATCGTGTATTTGAAAAGTTTTGGACGAAATGGCGTCACCAGTTGATAAGGAAAAGAGTGTCAGAAATGATGATGAAACATGAGGACAAGAAGCAGCTATCCGAGGTAAGACGTGAGGCCCCATCTATAAATTGCCTGGGGCCAAGCAAAAATGATTCATATAGAGGAAGGAGGTTTGGATTGGCGGAGGTTCAGAAATGTCTTGTTACCGGGGGGCTTGGGAGTTATAGAGAGCCATCGGGGGTTGTCAGATATCTTAGAGGCAAGATATCCAGGGTAGAATAAAAGCCAAAGACTGTCCGGGCAAAAAATCCACGTAAGGAGACTCGGTCCAAGTTCGAGATTATGGAGCACGAGATTAATAGAATAACATATTGAAAGTACCCAGGATGCTTTACCATGTTCGTAATGTTTTTGCTTCAAGTAGAAAAGCAGGTCACTTATTTACTGGGGGGGCACCTGATAGGTTTTCATGGCTTGGTACCAGCTCACGCTCGTGCGCGGGGGGGTGCTCAAAGGATGGCAAATGTACAAGACTAAGAAACTCTTTAGGCTGTGGATGCAGAAATATAACGAGTCGTGACCTACTTGGTTTATGATTGAAGGGAGGGGGGGATGTTTTTTGAGCGAGAAAATGTAAAGAATTAAACTGAAGAAAGAGAAATATCTCGCTTTAGCTAGCAATATGCTTGCGTGAAAATCTAGGAGGTTTTATAGAGTGCAAGTTGATTCTTAAATAGAATAATCAGTTTCGAATAACAGCATCGGGGGGGGTGGATACTTATTTTTTCAGCTTTAGATTTTCTATTTTTTTGAGATGATTTTACAGATGATGCGAATAGATATTTAAATGAAATTTTAATATTTATTTTTTAACCATCGTGTTTGTTAGTATTGATATAACATTGCAGAAAATGAATATCTCTAGTCGTATTAATTTTTGGGAAAAATTTCTATGGTGACCATGAAAGCTGCTAAAGGTGTAGAAAGGTAAAGGTTTTTTTTGAGTTTGTGAGAAATCAATCTTAGATTAACATGTATTTTTTCTTAAAATTTTTTTATCCGTTGGAAAAAAATTTTTGCATTTTGTTATGAAGATTACATCGATCACTCGGTGTAAAGTATTGATTTATTTTAGAATTGATAAATTAAAGACTATGACTTGAATAAATCTTTTTTACTCCCGTCGTTCACAGCTATTTGTCATTTGGAGCGATCAGTACTATTTTCATACGATAGAATTGAAATTGATTTGATATTAGAACCCTATTGCCTCTGTAAGGTTTTCGGTCAGTGGGGGGGGGTGAAAGAGTATGCGCAGACGAACCAGGAGGTCCTTTTGTCGTTCCCAGGGTCATCGGCTCTTTTGGATACGAATTGATTTGGGAAAGAGAATAACGGTAGCCAAGCGAGGAAAAACAAATATCAGAGAAAAGAGACCTTGCATAGGTCTTGCTCGCCTGCTCCCTGACTCTTCTCCGCCGACTTAGAGGCTAGAACAGGCCCACAATCTTTTTACAGCCTTTGTCTTTATACCCTAATCTAGAGTGTACGATATGACAGGGGGGGCACCCTCCCCCCCTCCTTACGTGTCGATATTTTCCTTTTGGGCTGTCGCCCAGCTTTGATGAAGTAACTATCACTCGTACATTTCATTGCTCATTGCTTGGGGGGGTCTGCACACGTGATCAGGGGAATCACTGAATCTAAAACTACACGTACATGTTCTTTATCCTAAAATCAAAACCTGGCAAAGAGGCACAACAACTGTCTTATAGGAAGTATACACTTGACAGCGTAAGCCGCAGAAAAATAAAATTAGATTCATCGAAATCTCACACCATATTTTAGCCACGCGTTTTTCTATAGAGTTTTTGCTTAGCGGATGGAGCCGGAGTCGGGAATGTGGGCTAAATTAGATCCTGTATTCTACCCTTCCGATTCAGGCTCATTTTCTGAGCAGGGCCAGTTTAAGAGGGGGAATATTAATGGGCTCGTTATAAACTAGAAGCTCTAACTCTAAACGAGGAACTTATAATGGGGGGGAAGTGTGAGATAATTTGTTTTCATGTCATCAGATGATCACAACGTGTATCACATTCAATTCAGTAACCAGTTAACTTTAGCGACATTGACAGAACGGCTTGCTGTCTTCCAGTTTTTGAAACCGGACAAATTTATTATAAATGATGGGCAGAAGAGGTGTAATGAATATAACACCTGAGACAGTGCACAGTCCACCAAGAATCTTGGGGGGGGCAGAAAAAGGAAGAATAGAATCCTTTCAAGTACAGAAAGGGCAACTTCATCCTGACATAGTGACATTGATCCGTTTTCTTAATGGCAGCGTAGACGGCACCAAAAAAAAAAAACATGTTTCTTATGTCTTCTGAGACATACGCGGCCGTGTGCAAGAACTTTTATTCTAGAAAGATCATGAAATCGTGATAAGAAAGTCACTTATGCTCTAAGAATTAAGTAAATGACAAGCGTCTAACAGTTTGGATCTCTATCTCAGTATCCGTTGCCTCAGCCAATCAGTTCTGAGCGAGTGATGTCATACCTTGTAATCGTGCACTTGTCGCACGAGTCACACGTGCACTGATGGCCTTTTTGATTGGTGGGGGGGCTTGGAGCTGTCTGAAAGAATGAAGGTCCTTATTCTATCGACGTTCATCTCTACATCGCAGAGATTACGTCGCAAACTTTACTTTGAAAAATTGAAATTCACTGTGTGGTACTTTGATACAGAAACAATAAATTTACACTTACCAAGAGTGCTTGGAACCATATCTCCATACCCAACGGTGGTTATTGTCACAACAGCCCACCAGAACGAGTGAGGAATACTTCGAAATTCCGTTTCTTGGTCCCAAAGTTCGCAGTAATACACGAGGATCCCAAAAAGAATTGTCCCCGTTAAAGTTAACGAAACCATCGTCCAGAGATCTGACAGACAAGCTGTAACAGTTTTTTTAAGCACTATCATCGTTGAAGCACAGCGAGAGATTTTGAGCACTTGAAATATTTTTGAGATATGAAAGACCTTGATCAGATAAACTGGGGGTGCTTTTGACTTTGCAGACACGATCAAATGAATGTAGAATGGCAAAATAGCGACAATGTCCACGATGTTTAGAAATTTGAGCAGGAATCTTCGCTTTTCCGGCGTCACAAGGAAACGAATAAGTAGTTCCAGTGTGAACCAAGCAATGCAAAATTCCTCAGCTCTTGAGATAAAATATTTCACTGTAAAGGAATTGCTATCGCGGGTAACTATTGAAGTGTTACTGATGTTAAACTTCACTCGACTATCGATGACTTCCTCAACAAGATTCGAGTTTCGTATGCTTGGGAGACTTTCAATGCACAAAATAACAGTTGCGAGCAAAATTACCATCAGCGACAACAACGTTGTGATTCGTGCAGCAAAGCTTGAATCTGGAAACTCGCAAATTTCCCAAAACCTTTTACGACAAACTACCTTTGGGGATATCACTTTCTTGGGCAAAAGCGCAATCGGAATTGGCAACCTGTCTTGCTTTTCCTCCGAGCTCAAATTGTCGTACAGGCCAAGGGGGGGAAAATCGTCTGCTAAAAGCTGCAGCGAGAACGTTTTACTCGGAAAAACTAGGATTCCATTTGTTGCATAAAAGTAATAAATGCTTTCAAATGTCGTTCGATTTCTGTCGAAGAAAAATTCGTCGTTCTCTTCATCGTAAAAAGGTGCTCTTTTTTCCGGGTCTGCAAGCAAACTTGTAGGAAATCGCAGCAGTTGTTGAACAGTGATTATGTATGATTTTCCACAGACATTGAATCGTATCTTTTTCTCCTTGCGTGGGGGGGGGTCACAGGCAATACCGTCAGAATCTTCTGAGGGATTAAGTTGTCGCTCTGGGTCGGTCCTCTGCCCACGACGAAAGAACGTTTTCGCTAATCCTCTTCGGTATATCTTCGGTGTCGTTGGGTAAGTTTCCAAATTTGATGGTTTTCCATAATATGGTAGCATCTTGGGTTAACATCCTATCGCCAGACGTTGCGAGTGTTTTTCTTGGGGGGGTCCTGTACACCAATTGTTGTTTCAGTTCAAGATCAATGCAGCTGACAACATGCGATCATACACCAAACCACATTCTTTACTATGTTTGTTTACATTTCGAACCCTTAACCTTGTCAACGCATTACTATAATACCATCTGTCATCGAGGTCAATCTGTTTCATTTTTCAGCCGATCAATCTCATTAAAAGCACTTAAAAATGCTTTGGGGGGGTTACATCATGACTTCAAGATTCAAACTTCACATTTATCTTCTCTAAAATCCGCATAGAATCGAAAAATAATAAACAGCGGTGGTCCTCCGATTTCTAAAGTAATTGTCCCAAAGTCGGTGTGTTATCGGTGCGAATCATTATTGTCTTTTGTGATACCATATCGATTAACGCAAGTGGCCTTAGGTAAACACAAATGAAAGTATTGGGGGGGGTCGATGTGTGCTATAGTCAACAGAAATGAAATATGTTTGCGGTTTCGAAATCAGGTTTTATAGTTTATCTTACTTCCAGTGTTTCTGCCTATTGGAGGAGGTATTTAAAATGAAATGTACTGCAACCTTATAATTGGCCGTTTTTTCAGCTGGTGTTCCTCCGCCGACTTGCTTTATCCTAAAATATTTCATGTATCACTTACATTATTTCCAGAAGATTCGCAAAATTTTAGATATTTTTTTCTTCTTTTTTCACGGGGGGGGCTTAAGGAGAAACTCAACCACGCAAATTGCTTGCAAGATAAACAGATAGCGCTGAAAGGTCCTACAGGCGGCAGTAGACAACTCCAAAGGCTTTTGATGAAAGAGGAAATATAGGGCATCTCACCGTATATCTGTGAATCCAGTCCAAGACAATAAGTCAGATTTTACCAGCTGTTTGCCTCGCCTCCATGCTCAGAACCGGGTTGGGGGGGTCACACATAATCTCAAAAACAACAAAGTTTTTAAAATATACGGCAGTACACTTTCGACATGAAGTTTTTCTTGTTTGTTTTGTTTATCTTGGGACAAACTCTAACATCTGCGAATCATCAAGAACTTCCTCGCGGCCATGGAAAAGAACTTGGAAAACACAGAGAAAGCGATGGGCATGTGGAGATTTTACATCAACTTCCATCAGGGGGGGAGTTTTGGGATCAATACGCAAGTCTGCGAAAACCCGTTGTTTTTCGCGGGGCCGCCAAAAAATTTCCTGCCTTCCACTTATGGACCGATCAATATTTAAAAGAAAATTATGGAGAGCTAGAAGTTAAACTGGAGGCTAAACGCGAGAAAGATCATGTTCCCGTTGGAGAAAGAGGTCTTGGTCGTGACACGATTCGAAGTTTTCTGGGGGGGTATAAACTGAAAGATACCTATACTGTGTCTCAACTGCCAGACCCGTGGGGGGGAGAAGTCTTTGTGTTACCCTCCCTAATGTGTGGTTCTTTCAGTGAGAGAATTTTAGAAGCGAATCTTTGGTTGAGTTCAGGCGGAACTCGCAGTATGTTGGGGGGGGATGCAGACAATGCCATTAATTGCTTACTGAATGGCACCAAGGATTGGGGGGGCATTCATCCAGAGAACGAACCAAACGTACGATCTTGCAGATAAGAATTATTTTAAATCTCTTTTTTAATTTGTTGAGGAAAAGATGACTTGAAAAGGTGGGGGGGGACAAAAACAAGTCGAGTTGAATTGAAAATCGTCGCTTCAATCAGAGGGGGGGGTTTTCTATAGCTATGCTTCCTTTTTTAATTCTTCCGGCCTCAGACCGGGGGGGCGTACAGAAATCTGCATCTCAAAAAAGTTGTTAGTTTGTCATTGACGGGGGGGAAAACATCACATTGCTCGCAAATTTACCTTAGAAACCAATTTTTCACAACATGAACCTTTGCCATGGTAAGGAAGAAGTGTTTAAAATCTGTAACAATTGGGGGGGTACCTTTACTCGCTCAATTTTTAAATTCTCATGAACTCCGCTGAGTAATTAATAACCGATCGTGGTAAACCAAGCTCGGTAAATATCCACAGTTATACAGGGGGGGAGACACGATTTCTTCGAGAAACAGTCCACTAAATATTTCTTTTAATTCACAATCTTTAGAAAATATAAAACTAATTGAAAAAGCCTCTGGATTTTTACAGGGGGGGGCAAAGCAAAAGAAATATGGAATATTCCTGTGGACAACTGCAGTTTCTAAAGAGGATATTTTCTTTCCCTTAAGTCTACATTTTTTCCAGATATTTGAGGGGGGGGCAGTTGACACTTTAATTTATACTATTGAGAGAGAACAGTTAAGAAACTTTAGAGTAAGTTTTAAGGAAATTCTCAACTTGAGAGTTGGGTTCTCAACTCGGGGGGGAAAAAATATCCTGATACAAAAGAAAGTTCTTGCTTCCATATGTAAGGAAAACAATCTTGACACAAGCTTTTGAGTTATAACAGCTATTCACAGGAGATCCATTGTCTTTACCATTATTTGTGGATTGCAGATACCAGTCGCTGATGGGGACAGAGGCTATGGAGGCTTTGCCACATTGGATGTTCAAAGTGTGAATCTTATCAAGGGGGGGGAATTCAAACAAGTGAGATGGAAATATGCCAATATGACACCAGGGGATTGCTTGTTCTTGCCTTACAGTAAGCACTACTTACCAGTCATGTGGTCTAAATGGGGGGGTAATTTTACACTGTTACTGGTAGTATTGTATTTACTTGCACAGTACGGGGGGGTCTAACAGTACTCACATTTGATACTAAGACTATTTGATTATTTACAGGGGGGGCAACACACAAGAGCAGGGTTTGTATTTGTGTGTATCCTTTCATGAATGACTAGGCAATGTGTATATATGTAAATTTTGGGGGAAATTTTTTTTTAGGGAGGGGGGGGGGTATGTACATAGTTTCTGAAACACCATGCATGTTCACAATCAGTGCATTACTAAGTGAGTACAAATGTCTGCTGCTTGTTTAACTCTTTCATTCCCAGGGGGGGCCAAGACAGAATTTTTCCTCACATTATCAATACATTAGTATAATTTGGGGGGGGGGCAAAGAGCTTCCAGCGATCTGATTGGTCGAGCAGTTCCTTATAGGGGGGGATACAAACTGCTCCTTGCGGTTTATATAAAATATTAAAATAAAATGGGGGGGGATGCTACTAAAGTGTTTTGATTTTAGAAATTTCTCTGTTGTTCAGCGGGGGGGTTATACTAAAACAATTATTTGCCTGAGGTGAGGTGAATATTGTTGAGGGGGGGCCTCAACTTTATCTCTGGGATTATTCGATGATATTCACCTCACCTTGGGGGGGTAATTGTGAAATATCAAGCAGGTAAGAGATGAGAATGAAGAAAATAGGGGGGGGGATTAGTACTTAATCTAATACCAAATTTTCCAAAATTACAATATGTATATGCAAATTGTATGGCAGACAGAAATGAGAATTATAAATGAGATCTTAAAATTGAAAGAGTTGAAAAGTTACCTTCCATTAACTGTACTGTTTAAAGATGAATTTTTATTATTGTTTTAGGTTACTGGCATCAAGTACGATCATATGGTTCAAAGAGGGGGGGTGTTTCAGTTCTGTTCTCACGCTTGACAGAGTTTGACCCATTTGGATGTGAGAATGCCAAGCTAGAATACACTCCCCTTTCTGATGTGAATATGGTATGGACCTACCCAGGACATGGGCCACAAACAATGGGGAACTTAGATCCATTTGAAAGGGGGGGTGTATTAATTAGTAGCAATAAACTAAGTAATAGCAGTGGTGGCCAGGGGGGGGTGGACACCATCATGTTGTTTGGTCAGATTACATGTTCGACTGGGAAGGGGGGGCAACAGGTCAAATATCCCAGGTGTTACAAAAAATTCACACAGACCTTTAGGAAACTTTTGATTGAGGAGTTAGTCCTTTTTCTTCTGAGTCAATGGAGAGGGGGGGTTCTTCCTACAGAAGCAAAGGTAGACAAAACCAAAGCAATCTTATTATTTGGTTCAATCAACTTAAAAGTTTTCCATGCATCTCCATTTCACCAACTCTGGGGGGGGTCTGTTATTTCCCATCAAAGTACGTATGGATCTTGCATGCATGTAGGGGGGGATGCTCCTTGGGGTTACTGCTGATTTTATCTTTGTTTACTTTTTCTTAGAGATCATTATATCAGTCTTGTGGAAAGTAGCAAGAGAAAGAGACTGAACTTAGAGGACATTTTTCAACTTCTCACTGAAGTAAGGAAACCTGTGTGTATTTGAGCATCCTGAGAATGATTTTTGAATATAAATAATATGATACCACTTTAGCCACAGGGGGGGAACATAGTAGTGCATAGGTCCAGGTTTAAGACCTGGCCAGATCATTGGGGGGGGGTTTTAGTCTTTAAACACGAAGGCACGCTATAAAGGAGAGGAGCCGGGGGGGCCACAGGACCATTTGTCAATCAATCTTCATGTGATATAGAAATCTCGGGGGGGAGTCAGCTTGAGCTACAGATACTCCAAAGTAGAGAACAGTGGGCGCATTCCTCAAAATTGTTTTATATCTTCATCACAATTTAAGAATTTTTGAGATTTGGGGGGGCTTTCTCCAGTGGAAACTGACTTTATTTGTGGTGGTAAATTTGAGAGGGGGGGAGGTGGTTCGCACGTTACCTCATGCCACCATGCTGGTGGAAGTAAACAATAGATATCTCATTAGCTCCTTTTGTTCGTCTACCAGCATTTAAATTTGATGGGGGGGCGTCAACGGTGAGTGACAAATGGGTCTAGGTCTTCCCAGGGAAGACTTCCTTATATAGCGCACCTTTGTGTTTAACTCCCAAGATCTAATTGTTACCTCTCCCTCTACCTGCTACACAATTTCTTGTAAATTCGTTACGAGAATGTGGTTTTGGATCAAGGTAACAAACTCTACCTGACGAGTTTGAACATTCTCATTACCTGTTGGGGGGGTAGTGCATGGCTATTAAATGGGAGAAGTTACATGTTAATCACTTCTGGGAGTCAAAGGGGTTAAGCAAGACACTTTACTCTCACAGTTCCTCACTCCGCGGGGGGGATAAATTATATGAGTGAAAATCTTGGAGGGCCGTAGCCAGGATGAAGGGGGGGTGAAATAAAATATAGAAAGGATCTCTGGCTAAAATGATTAAAAACTGGGGGGGTTCGAGTGCCGGGACTGCAGTCTTCAACAGGTAAAATGAATGATAAGGGGGGGATGAGAGAATTTACATGTACATTCTCATTATTTCGCAGTTCATGTCGGGGGGGAAATTTTCTCATCGCTTTCTTATCATTCATTTTACCCGTTGAAGACGGGGGGGCGGGCAGTTGAAAGCTCATAGTTTTTAATCATTTTAGCCAGAGATCGGGGGGGAATTTCAACTATAATATATGAGTGCTTTGTACCAGAAAATTGTCAGGGGGGTGAAACCTGACAGAATGCTGGGGAGTGACCTTACCATGGACTGGTATCGGGGGGGGGGGGGAATAATTCTTTCTCCTTAGTCACTTTATGCCAAGGAAACCGGGGGGGGCTGTGGCTGGTTGACCACTTAGCTTGCGTACAGACTCTAGGACTTACTGATCTGCTGTCCTTGCAGGGTGAAGTTATGGAAGAGCATGAAGATGTTAGAAGAAACATTTCTGAAAAAGTAAGTTAGAAAATTTCTGATGACATAGGGCAACGGGGGGGGACTTGGAAAACAGTTGAAATATTACAGTCAAATTAAAGAGGGGGGGGGGGGGGAAAACAAGCTGAGAGTTGACAATTACCATTGAAAAGACACAAATAGGGGGGGAAGAGAAGAGCGATTGTGTTCACTTCAAATTTGGCAATTATTTTGTGGGGGGGTGTGTGCGTGCGTGCGTGTGTGTGCGTGTGTGTGTGCATGTGTGTGGGGGGGGGTGTGTGCGTGCTTTCAATGCTCCATTGAAAATGTCTGTTGGTCGAGGGGGGGGTTCAAGTTTTTGAGATAATAATAATAATATAATAATTCACCAATTGGGGGGGTGCGTATTTACATGTGGTGATCAGTAGTGCTTTACAATCATGTTTAGGGGGGGGCAAAAATACATTACTGTGAGAATAAAAAAAACATTTTAAACTAAGGGGGGGGCTATAAAAATACTTCTTAAAAAGATAGGTTTTTAAGTCGAGATTTAGGGGGGGTTAGTGATGTTACTTGAGGAAGCTCCATAGGTAGGCCATTCCAGAGGGGGGGGGCTGCTGCTGAGAATGATCTTGCTCCCAATGTCGTAAGCATCTTTCGGGGGGGATGGTCCAATAAGAGCTTACCAGTAGACCTAAGATTGTATAATGAAGGGGGGGTTATACTAATAAGATCACTAAGATAAGTTGGCGCTAGGCCATAAATGCGTTTGAAAGTCAAAAGTAAAATCTTATAGTCAATTGGTAAAGAAACCGGCAGCCAGTGCAACTCAAAAAGCGCCGGTGTAATGTAAGAAAACTTTCCGATGCCAAGGATAAGTCTTGGTGCTGCATTTTGAACACGCTGTAATTTAGCGATCTGCACGGGGGGGAAAACACATAGAGAAGTGTTGTAAAACCTTAATGAAATCTTAGACTGGGGGGGACATTTCAATGAAAATTACCCTTTGCCTTTGATTTTTGAAGGTTCTTAGAATAATGGATGCTGGCAACAAAGGTTATGTAACCAAACAAGACATCGAGGCCCTAACTGTAGAACAAGTGAAACAAATAGCAAATGAGGTTGATCCAGACCCTGCAAACACTGAGGAATATGAATTTGCTATTTTTGATCTGAATGAAGTCAAGTAGGGGGGGTGTAACAATTCTTGCTAATTCAATACCGCTGTATTTCCCCCTTTTTTAACGTCAGTTTCTAGAATTTGATGAAGGGACTATTTTCACGCAAATTCGGGAGGGGGGGCTACTAGTGGGGGAAGAACGGAAGAAGGGTAGCCTACTTGTAGATAGGGGGGGCCCCGTCCCACCGTCCCACCGTCCCATTTTTCCAGCCTCCCATTTTGGGGGGGTCCCATTTTCCGTCCTTTTTCCCCGAATTTGGGTGGGGAGAGGTTGGGGGGGGTTGCGACAACAAACAGGGATGACGCAGTGGTCAGACCTGACGTCACTTCGATGTGTCTATTGTTGGTTCCAGTCCTCCCTCAGATATTTTCTCGTGGTCTCCTATGTTTTTCCTTCCGCTAAACCGAGTTCTCATAGGAGTTTTCCTTCCCCGGGGGGGGTCTGTTTTTGACCAAGCTTTGCATGATGGACGTGGAAAACTGACTGTGGACAACTTAATAGCACGTTACGAGGTAATTAAAATGAAATCTACAAATTGTTCAAATTGCTGTCAAACTAAAACACTGGCAGGTATAACAATTTTCCACTGGGTTGCTTTACTTCGCTTTATAATTTGTCCAGGAATCTCAGAAATTACTCGGCCGGGGGGGGATTTTAAGGACAAGCTCTCAGCCGCAAATATTATCAGCCGACAAACGGGGGGGGTAAAAGGGCTTATTTACTAATAATGTACTGTTTTCCGTGATAGTCGGGGGGGAGTGTTATTCGTATCTTGCAGGATTTCGGTGGCTCTGCTAAAGTGGCGAGGGAACTTTACGACATGCTTCAGCCTAAAAATGCCGATTTTGTGTCGAAAGAAGAATTGAGGGAGCGTCTTGATCATGTCTTGAAGCTCTATTTGAAAAAGAAAGATGACGATAAATCAGGTCTGTAAACCTATCTCAAAATTTGAGGGTAATTTTCAGATGAGTGTCGAAAGTAGCGCGGGATTGCATTGGTTTTGCTTCACTCCGCTGGGGGGGTGGTCCAGAAAACTCGCGCCATTTACTCAGCCAATCAGATGCTAAAGGGGGGGCAGTCGCGACTTGGTCGCCGCGTTTTCCCGCGCTTTAGGCAGTTTTGGGGGGGTTACTTTGAGTTGTCACTGGCTCTTTGGGAATTTTTCCTTTTTTCTGGGGGGGTGTTGTGATTCATTTGGTTTTGGTTTTACGACTCTCAAGCGCTCCTATATGTATTGACTTAGTGGGAAGACCGCAGTGAAGTCCGTGCTTTGCAAACGAGGGGGGGAAACGACCCCGTCAGGCCCGATCAAACTTAGTCAATTGCATTTAACGGGGGGGCAAGAAGTCTTAAAAAAAATTGAAATCATTTTGAACATGATTGAGACGTCGTTGAAATTATCCAAGAAGGGCGCGCTGGGCAACTACAAAAAAGTTCTTAAATATGAAAAACCTTTGAATTAATTTATTTTTCCAGTCAGAAAATGCGACTTATATTCTTATTTATCGGAGTCAGCATCCTTTCTGATGCCCCTGTTTTTTCCGCGAATCGTTTTAACTGCAAACTTGGGAGGGTTTCACTCCGAACGCTGTCAGTTTTTTTTTCTTTCTTTCTTTCAGGAATTTTCTATGAAAAAGAGTTGGCTGAAGATAAAGAGATCATGCGACAAACGCTACCATCAGATAGCTTGGATTCCATACACAGAGAATCTCCACACTCTGAATTGTGATTCTCGAAAAAAGAACTTCTTGAATAAGGGGGGGGACGTTTGTTTCGTTGTTAAAAATTGCCTTGGTTATGGTTGACAAGTGAAATAAGCTTTTCACTGTAATTTATGAACTAAGTCAGAAAACATTTTCTGAAATTTGTCTGTAGTTATAATATTAAACTAAAAAGTAAATTAAATATACCAACTTAAGTTACTTTCTGTAAGGAGAAGAAGAGAATAAAGTTAGAATTTGATGTCACCTTTTATATTTTATGTGGATTTGTTTCTGTATGCGCAGTTGAGAAGAGTTATGTCGCGAGAGAAACAAGGACCAGAAAAATATTTGTCGAGGTATCGTCCCAATTTTAACCCGTTTAACTCCAAGAGTGATTGACACCTAATTTCTCCCCAGGGTATCCCCCCTGAATCACTCATCTAAGGTCATAAGAATAAAGGAAATGATCACCAACTAAAAAAGCTTTGATTGTTAAATGGCGGCCTAATTTACGGCGTTCGAGTTTTGAATTTGGACTGGATGAATTTATTCTTCAATTTTTTAACGGTTATGAAATGCTCGTTTTACAAAGCACTCGATTTTGCAAGGATAGGCAGCCCCGAGTTTGATTAACCTCCTTCCGGTTAGCTCAATCGGTTAGAGCGCCGGATTGTTGTGCGGGAGGTCGAGGGGGGGGGCCTCGGCCGGACCAATACTCATGGTCTTAAAATAACTGAGGAGAATTTACTAGCTTTCTATAATATCAAGAAATGGATAGATATTCTAGTCTTCTCGGATGAAGACGAATAAACCGTTAATTTCCCACGATCGAGATTATCAGTGTGGTGGGGGGGGGCCACTGGGGTGGGATGGGCGGGAAGCTGGAAGGTGAGATCATTACAGGGGGGGAAGCGGCTGCCAGAGGCGCCTAATAATGCCGACGTCCGATCTCAACGGGGGGGTTGTGACTAGACATGTTTGTTGTTTAGAGTGCTTAAGACTTCCTCTGGGGGGGCTTTTCACCCCCTTTGATGATGCATTTTCAGTAAGATGATCGAGTGGGGGGGGTTTGCGCGCATTACGTACCTACAATTCGACCGGAAGCTTAGCATCCTCGCATGCCACAAAGAAGAGTGAGAACTAACAAGGAACGTTGTGATGGCGGTCGGGGGGGCTGAAGTTCTCGAATGAAAAGTTAACAGACAGATTGTTGATACTTCACCTGTCATTTCAGCGCAGTATGTCTTCAAATCCTTCTAAGCAAAGCCTCAAAGGGGGGGCTGAGTCAGAAATCAACGATGAAGAAGATGGAAGCATGGATAAGGCGGAAGAACATTTTCGGATAAAAACTCTGGATGAAATTCGACAAGAAAAAAGAAGACGCCTGGAAAAAGACGATGCAACCGGAGAGGAACGCAATGGATCACCAATAGACATTTTGGGAACTGCTAGCCCAGTAGATTCAGCTAGACGAGATCAGAAGTCTTCTTCGAAACAAAGTTCTCCGGCGGTTCAGGGAACAGAAAGCGAAGTCATATATCAGCTTAGTCCTGAACAAACTAGTTTGTCTTCAGGTAGGTAGATCAGTACAAATGATTACTAACGTGACCAGAACACTTAACTAGCCCGCAATTCGAAATCAAATCTAATGAAACTTTCATCATATGAAAGCTCAGATCTTGTTTTGCAAGTTCAGAGGGGGGGTTGGTTTTAATAATGCAAAAAAAAATAATAATAATAATAAAAATGCACACAAACACAGTGAAATCCAGTTTGTTGTGGGGGTGAATTGACCATAAAGTGAATAGACAGTTACCTGTGAACTCTGCCTGGAAATTGAGAGGAATGATTTTTCAGAAGTTCCTGTTCTGCGTGAGCCCTACTATATAATTTCAATCATGACTGTTATAATTTCAGCATCATCGCCAAGCAGAACTCCAAAAAAGTTGAAACAACCTTCACACCATGACGGTGCAACCAGTGGAGTCCAGGTGAACAGGAGGAGAAAAACAGAAGAAGAGGAAGGTGAAATTGTAAGCGACCCATCTGATTCAGAAAGTAGAAGGGGGGAGAATAGATCCAGAAGGTACTCATTGATCAGCAATCCTGATGTTGATGAGAAAATTGAAGCAGCAGAACCAAGAGATAAAGGTAAGACTGCATTAATGGGTGCTGGGGGGGTTAAACACAAAGGCGCACTACAGATAGTTTGGTTCTGCCCCTTGGTTTCAGCTCAAATGCAGTAATCAGACCATTGTTGAAGAAGGGCCTTCAATGTTTCAGCCCCTTTCCTTTTCATTGTTGCCATCATCTACGTACAGTATTTAGAAACAGGCTTGAAACAATGCTGTGGTATTATTTTGTGATGACAGAGCAAATTATTTTGGGGGGGGAATTTACCTTCACAAATGAGGATGATTTTGATTGGAGGAAAGTGGTACAAACCTCTGCAAATTCCTCTATTATGATGAAAACATACATTGAAGAAACATACTAGTTGAGAAATCCACCTGCAGTTCATTTGCTTCAGATTGGCTGCAGCTCAGGGGGGGTTGAATATACAGGTCTGTAGAGCGTAACAGTTGATTGACAAGGCACATTCCTTTTGTAATGCGCCTTTGTGTGTAAAACCCTCAAACTCCCAAGATCTGATTGTGTATTCTCCCTTCTTGCTGTTATAATAATTCCTGGTAAATGAGTTATAAGAGTGTGGAGTTAGATCAAGAGAACAACTTCTACCTGATAAGTTTGAAATTCGGGGGGGCTGTTTGCTGGCTAATGAATGTATATTGTAGGGAGAAGTAACATGTTAATCACATCTCAGAGTTGAAGGGTTGGTGCGATTCTTTTGGTTTTTGTTTTGCCACATTTATAGCTTCCTTGTTTGTATTGTAATTTTGAATTTGTCCATGTAGATATAAAACAAGAAAAGAGGACAGATGAGTCTAGTGAAGAAGAGTCTTCTAATGACGAAGAAAGTGAAGAAGACACTGAGACAGCAGCTGCTACTAAAAGAGCTCAGGGGGGGGGGAAGGAAACAGCGGAGGTGAAGAAAGAAAGCAGTGTCTCTGAATCTGAGAGTGGTAGTGAAGAGAGTAGCAGTGATGATGATGACAATGATGATGGGAATGAGAAGATACAGGAAGAAGTTTCTAAGGGTGAGCAAAAAGAAAGCAAAGTAAAGCAGCAGAGGGAGACTGGGGTGAAGAAAAATGCACCAAAAGAGGTGGTTTTAAAGAAAAATAATAAAGAAGATGAAAGTTCCAGTGAAGAGGAAGACAGCAGTGGGGGGGGCAATGAAGAAGAAGAAAGTGAAGAAGAGGAAAGTGAGAGTGAAAGTTCCGAAGAAAGTGAACAAGAAGAAGTAAAGAAACAAGTTACAGAAAAGACTGAAACCATGAAGACAGAGGAGGTTGAAACAGAAGATCTTCATAAGGAATTACAACAGCTGAAACGTCAAAGACCAAGTGATGAGAGACAAAGACATAAACTAAAAACAGAGAGACGTCGTTATGAAGAAAGAGAACGCAGAGGAAAGGGACAAGGCTCCTCGGGGGGGAGGAGTGATAAAGAAAGGTTCAGGGAGAAAGAAAACAGCCAAGCAAGATATCAAGTTGTTGAGGAAAGTCGACATTCACAAAGCAAAAATAAGAAAAGATCTTACGAGAGGGGAAGATCTGATCAGGTTGCAGTGGATCCTAAACAAAAGGAAAGCAGAGATAAGCACAGGTCTTACTCAAAAGATAGCAGCAAGCCAAAATCAGAGAGACCACATGCAAGAGAAAAACAGTCTGAGATTAGCGTTGAGAGAAAAAAGGATAGATCACGAAAGGACTCAGAGAAGCGCATCAAGCCTTCTGCCGAGGAATCTTCAAACCGTGAAACAAAAGGCAAAGATAGGAAAAACCACAGTGGAAGTAAAAGGAGTAGTTCTGCTTTGGAGAAGACCAATAAGGAAAGTAGAGACAGTGAAGAAGATACCCAGCAAAATAAACCAAAGAAAGAGGAAGGAAAATCGCTGATCCTAACAGATCGTGAGAGGAGACAGTTTACCAATGAAGTTGTTGACATAGAAAGTGAGGGTAGTAGTGCGGAAGACAATAAAGAAGGAGCACCCTCAGATGTTGAAATGAAGCTTTCTGGTGGTGAACAAGAGGAGGACGAAGAAGAGGAAAAAGTGAAACTGCCTCCATACTATCCAGCGGTTCGTGGCTGTAGGAATGTGGAAGAGTTTCAATGGCTGAATAGAATTGAAGAGGGGACATATGGGGTTGTATACAGAGCTAAAGACAAAAGAACAGGTTAGATTCTTTTTGTGTTGTGAACCTTTATAATTTACAAGAGTGTTTTTTGCGAATGGATTCCATGTTTGAGTGTCTGTTGAGTTATACATGTTCACAGGGGGGGCAAAATGTAGTAAGAATAAATGTAGTGAGTGGCATGCAAGGTGCAGCTGAGCCTGTCACCGATTTTGTTACCACAATTGGGTGCCTTCTTTGATCTGTTACAAACTCACAGGAACATGGAATTTATTTGTTGCATGTGATGAAAAAACAAAGGGGGGGGAATGTTGACTTCATCTATACGTGTGTGTCTGTTCTCCAATAGAACTAATTATAAGTGAAAACCAATCAAAGGCATGTACAATTTAGCTAATTAACTATTTTTTCAAGAGGGGAAGCAAGTCCATTGCAGGGTACCCCCTCACCCCCCCCCCCATCAGAATTCTGTTCAGGTTTCTACAACAGACAAGTGGCAGCCATTTCTACTTCTTTGTGTAAAGAGGCACTGTGAGTGTAAAGTGTCTTGCCTAAGAACACAACAGGATAACATGCCCACAGTTTCAACCTCCAAACCTCTCAATCCACAGTCTCGCACGCTAATGATAGGCCTCTGTATCTCCAACCCAAGAGTCTTCTATTGAAACTAGTGGGGGGGCTCTAGTGGATGTGTGTGTGTGTGTGTTTCTTATCGCTAGTCTCATGGGGGGGTCCATCTTGTCTGAACAGGTGATATAGTTGCATTGAAGAAATTAAAGGGGGGGAGAGAGAAGGAAGGATTTCCAATCACATCTTTGCGGGAAATCAACAGGGGGGGGAAAGCACAGCATCCTAACATTGTCACAGTTAGAGTAAGTGTTAGTAATAATTACAAATGCTGCTTTGTCTACAAATGTGGTATGTAATTGCTGAAGAGATTTGTGTAATCAGCCATTTATTGTTACAGTGATGTACATGAATTATATTTTTTGTTATGTTTTAAATAATTGTTACTGAGTGATATGTGACAAAGAATGAAAATAGGGGGGGTGAAAGAGGGCAGAAATGTTGAGAAGTGAATGTAATTACAATTTAAGGGGGGGATTAAAGTTACCTGTTGAATTTATGTAAATAGCTTTCTTTCTATGGTTTTTTCCCTCTTTCTTTAGGAAATTGTTGTAGGCAGCAATATGGATAAGATTTACATTGTAATGGACTATGTTGAACATGATCTGAAAGTTCTTATGGAGCACATGACACAGGGATTCAGAATGGGTGAGCTACTTTTTTTGTTACTGCTTTTATTTCAGTCTGCATATAATGTACGTATGCAGTGTGTTATACACAGAACAAAACTGCTTCATGAGTGACTCCACAGTGTATTTCAGAGGTTGCGCTTGAAAAATATCATGATAGAAATAATTATTGATATTTTTGTTGTAAAATTTCTAAATGTTGTGTGGTACAGGGGGGGATTTTTATTTCATCAGATTCAAAGGACAAAATTTTTTAAGTCTTACGCAGGGCTGTGGTCTAGCAGTGCCCGGTGGCCCCTGGCACCTTACTTTTGCTCGGGGGGGACTCAGGAATGTTAGTTTTCTTGTAAAAAGCATATGCTGGGCACGCGGGGGGGCACAGTTTCAGAACACCGGGCTCCTTTCAATTATTCTTAGAGCACAGCCTTGATTATGGCCTGTTAACCTCATTTACATGGTCTCTGTTAATTTCCTTACAGTGAAATTTATCACTCATTATAATAGTAAAGGCCATTTTTTTAATATTCGATGTGGTTGGTACTATTGCATGTATTGGTACTCTCAAAATATCTATTTAAGATTGGGGGGGAGACCTAGCAAGACATGTATGATGTGTATTACATATTTTCATGTGAGGGGGGGTTTTTTTTTTCTTTTTTTGTACATGTAGGTGAAATCAAAACTCTTAGGGGGGGGCTTCTACGTGCTGTGGCTCATCTCCATGACAACTGGATACTGCACAGGGATCTGAAAGCCTCTAACCTACTGCTCAGTAATAAGGGAATCCTAAAGGTTTGTTAACAACAAAGAATGCCAAACCAACTCAATAGGTATAAAGTAAACTATAATATTAGATGGCATTTGAAAGTAGCATCCTTGTACACAAGCACTATGAGATGCAGTATGTCGATGATCCTATATATCTCAGGGCTCAACACTAACTTTTCAACGTAGGGGGGGAGTGGCAATAATTTCAGTTTGTTTACTCGCCGAACTGGCTAGTGGAAATAAAAAACCACTAGCCAAAACTGAATTTCTACTTGTCTGTGGCTAGTTGGCTACTATTAGTGTTGAGCCCTATGTCATACTGTACTTTCATATTTATTGTGGTTTTCGTATCAATTCTTCCAGGTTGGTGACTTTGGACTTGCAAGGGAGTATGGTTGGGGGGGTAAAAATTACACCCCCATTGTGGTTACCCTGTGGTACAGAGCTCCTGAACTCTTGCTAGGCACCAAGGTATTTTCTTCTCAGCACATCAAACTGCAAGCATTTTTTTTCCATAACAAGTAGAAATTAAAGTATTTGGCAACTAAATTTGCAGTGATGTTCTCTAATTTGGTGACTTATGTATGGCAGTCATGTCAGCAAGCGGCGGGGGGGTAAAGACTTAAAAAAATATATGCTTTTATTATTGCTTTTTTTGTAAGGGGGGGCCCTTTTTTTCTCTTAATTTTTTTTAGTGTATTAAGCCTCTAGATATCACATTAACCTCCAAAACCAAGTTGGCTGCAATGCTAATCTCAAAGCCAAGGTGTGGTCAGCAGAATAGTGTGTCCTGCAATTTTGCACAAAAGTTAAGGGTTCTCTCCAGTAGTCCAACACATCTACCTTGGAAATGAACAAGGATGCAAACACATAGTTCAAAATACTTTTCTTTTCATTCTATTGTTACAGTAGTTAATCAATCAAGGGGGGGGGTATCAGTTAACATAATTTTATTCATTTATTTTATTTTTTTTTGTGGGGGGGGGTTTAGGAATATTCTACCCCTATAGATCTGTGGTCAGTTGGGTGTGTGGGGGGGGAGTTATTGACCATGAAGCCACTGTTTCCTGGAAAATCAGAGATAGACCAGATCAACAGAATATTTAAAGTAAGACAACATTATTACAATGATTAAGTTGGGGGGGTCAAGTTATGCGTTCAAGATGGAACAAGTGTTTGATCATTTGTTTTGGGGGGGCTTGGCACACCGAGTGACAAAATTTGGCCCGGTCCTCCCTCATATTGGGGGGGTCCAGCAGTGCAGAAGGTATTATAATTACTGACAGTTACTATTTTTTGCCTGATCACCTGACTGTACTCCAAGCTGCAACCCTTTTGGTCACAGAGGAAATAATGAAAACATTTTGGTGGCTACAATATTAATAGCGCACGTGCATGCAGGGGGGGGGGTTAAAATGCTTTCAGCATGAGGGTTACTGGTTTTCACAAGCGGGAAGGGGGGGTTGAACTGAATTTCTTTATGAGATAAACTTTCCTGCAGACTGTCAAACCACATGGGCAAAACCATCCTCTCAACTGGTCAATTTCCCTGGTGCCCGACCGGGGGGGATACCCCTGTGTATGTAGCCCATTTGGTAACTATGTTCATGTCACAGGGGGGGATTTTGTTCATGTCACAAGCTTCCATTATGTAGTATTTTTTAGTGCGGGGGGGAAAATTTATGCCCCAAGCTTTAATCCTTGTGATGTGATCATTATGTGGGGGGGCAAAAATGATTACTAGGCAACTTTTTTTCCCCTTGGATTTTTATCTGGGGGGGTCACTTCTGAATCAATTTTGGGTCTTTCTAGTTACCATTTTAAGATGGGGGGGACATGGAGCTAGTAGCTCTGCTCATGATGTGATTCTTTTCCACTCTAAAGCAGCATCTGGTTTCATTACTCTTCAATCTGTCTTTTTCTGGGAACAATCAAAGTATCAAAGTTTTCCTAGAGCCACTTGGATGTTATGAAGAGTCTCATTCTGAATTTTCAAAACTTGGCTGAAAGGAACCTATTATAACTTATTTTAATTTTGTTCTGTAATTAAATGTATTTAACTGCTCTTGCTTTCAGATGACCTTCACTGATTGGGGGGGCAACAATTTGAGAAACAAATTTGGAGCTTACCTCACAGACAAAGGCGGGGGGGTGTTAAACAGGTGAAGCTTTTACTCCTTAGATCTACTTCAAAATTCTCCTTTGTGGCAGCTACTTATTTCTTCAATCTTTATATTGTTTAGAGAATATTTTTTCGTGTTCTATCAAGAAACAGCAGCATCTTTTATTCAATCTTTTTTTCAGGGGGGGGACATATGATCCAGGCAAAAGGATTACTGCTGAGGAAGCTTTAAAGCATGCCTATTTCTCGGTAAGTGCATACTTATCTCATTACACACCAGGAAATAACGGGGGGGGTGTATCAGTTTCTGTTTTCAAGTGAATTTTTTACCCCATACCACTAAAACAAACAACAAAATTTAATGGATTAATCATAATACAAGCAAAGGAAAAAAGGGGGGGGTTCAAGATTTAAGAAAACAAAGGTGATTCCAAATCGTCTACCACACATGCTCTGGTCAACATGATGCATAATTGGCTTGTTAACACTGACGGAAATGGGGGGGGGGCAAGAGTAGCCCTACTTGACTTCCGTAAGGCTTTTGACCTTATCGGGGGGGGTGTTCTCGTTCAAAAACTAGCAACATATTATGATTTTCCAAGTCAAGGGGGGGGCTGGATTGTCGACTTTTTGATGGACCGGAAACAAAAAGTCAAACTGGGGGGGGATTGTCACTCTGAATGGCGCTCTGTACCATCCGGCGTCCCCCAGGGGGGGGGATTAGGTCCCTGGTTATTTCTCATCATGATTAACGATTTAGACACCGGGGGGGACTTGTGGAAATACGTGGACGACACATCTTGTTCCGAAATAGTTACGGGGGGGAGTGAGAGCAAACTCCAAGAAGCTGTGGATGACCTTTCAAGACAAGGGGGGGGCGATGGGTTCCAACTGAATGAGGCCAAGTGCAAAGAACTACGAATTGGGGGGGCTAACAGCAACTACGATTTTGAACCCCTAGTCCTAAATGGCAAACCGGGGGGGTTAGTCACCAGTGCCAAATTGCTAGGCATGACCATTAGCCACGATTGGGGGGGGAACATGCACACCTCTGAACTAAGTAGAAAACGTTCCTCTCGTCTCGGGGGGGTGAGACAACTCAAGAGATCTGGAGTTGCACCAAGCGAACTTGTGCAGGGGGGGGTGACATGTATTAGGCCCGTCTTGGAATACGCAAGTCCTGTATTCCGGGGGGGTCTACCAAACTACATCAGCGAAGATTTGGAACGGATCCAAAGCAGGGGGGGGGGAATCATCTATCCTGACCTGTCATATAGTGTAGCACTAGAAACAGCGGGGGGGCCGAAACTTCACGAGAGGAGGGAGAAAATCTCAACCAATCTGTTTGGGGGGGGAGTCCGTAACCCCACCCATAGACTCCACAGCCTCCTCCCCCAAAGGGGGGGGGGTAGATACGCGCTAAGGCACAAAAGTGATTTCACTCTCCCCATATGGGGGGGGGAGCGCTTGAAGAACAGTTTTATTTTTAGCCATATTTATAAGATGTGGGGGGGTTTCCTTCTTTCTTAACGACGAAGTTGTAATATTTTATACGTCCTAGGGGGGGTCCGTATTTGTAAATATTCTGTAATTCAGCCCATGGCTGCAAGGTGGGGGGGGTAAAGTATCTATCATCTATCTGATTCCTTTTTAATTGTGAGTCACAAGGGAGAAGCAAAAGTATGAATATCCACTGAATCATGAAAGGTCTGAAAATTCCTTTTTCTTAGGGGCAGAGCTATGTATACCCTTTCTCAGTCTAGTTACTTACGGGGGGGATTTAATTCTTGCAATTTAATGACAGTTAAGATTTTTTTTTGTTCCTTTCCACCTCCTTTAGGAATCTCCCCAACCAGTGGACCCCTCCATGTTTCCAAGGGGGGGTGCCAAGAGTGAAATGGCAAAGAGGCCCAAGAGAAAGGATATTGAACACAGTCCACAAGCCCCTGAGGGAGGGGCTATGTTTGCAAAGCTGGTAAGTGATAAGGGTTTATTGATTCTTGGTCACAGCAAAACTTGTATAATTATGGTTTGATGGGGGGGTCTCAGACGTGAAGCAAGTCACCCAAGTTAAAGTTCTGTCGTCATCAATGAGTGATCACGATCTTGTTTATGTTAAGCCCAGGCTGAAAAAGCATTTATGGGGGGGAGAAGTTTCAAAAATTACTCCTCGATCAGGTTTAATATCGACATTAGGGGGGGACCTTGGTCAGTTCTGGAAAACGATCTTGGCGATAAACTTTATGCCTTTAATTTGTTGTTTAATGAAATTTTGGATAGACATGTACCTTTAAAAACCATTCATCTGCGGGGACGACCGAATCCTTTTATCACCGATGAGATTCACGACCTAAGGGGGGGAAGAGATGACTGGAAACATAAGTTCAAGCAAACTAAAGATCCGTTGGGGGGGGCTAACTACAAGAGCTATTGCCATGAGGTAAAACGGAAAATTCGCCTGGGGGGGAAAGAATTCATGGCACAACAACTCAAAGAAAACAGAAATAACACCAATATCATGTGGAAAGCAATTCGTAGTTGTATCCCTAAAAAATCTGCTTTCCAGAGTTCCTTTTCAGAGGACGTAAATATTGTGGCCAACAAATTTGATAATTTCTTGGGGGGGATCAGTAAGAATACAGTTCAGAAAATCAGCACCTTGGCAGAACAATTCCAGTGTGAAGCACACAATTTCCCATTTACCCCTCGGGAATACCCCATGTCTGAACAGTTTGCTTTCGATGCTAATGTGAATATCAACCAAGTACAAAAGATTATCAAATCTATGGCACCAAAATATATATAATAAGTCTCCCAGAATAGATAAAATTCCACCTCATGTTATTAAAGACTGCCTACCTGCCATCCTTCCCTCGATTGCATAGATTATTAATGCCACCTTTCTTTCTGCTCAATTTCCCAATGCTTGGAAAATTGTGGAAGTGACACCTATTTTGAAAGAAGGTGACAGGGAGATTCCTAACAATTATAGGCCTATTTCACTGTTATAATTTGGATATATGAACAAAGTTGAAAACGTAAAGGGGGGGCCGTAACGATTACAAAAGCTGACGTCTTGAGCGTTAGCCCTTTGTTGGGGGGGCTATTTCACTGTTAGCTGTGCTTTCAAAGATTTGTGAGAGAGTTGCCCACAAACAGCTAATATCCTTTTTAACAGCAAACCAATGCTTGTCACCTATGCAGAGCGGTAACAAGAAGTGGAATTCTACCGAGACATCTATCTTGCAAACAACTGATACTATCCTTGAAGCCATAGATAAGAAACAGCTAACTGCCACTGTACAGCTCGACATGAGCAAAGCTTTTGATAGCGTCGCCCAGGGAATCCCCCTGTCAAAGCGGGGGGGTATTGGTATGTCGCCTATCGCTATCAAATGGTTTCACAGTTACCTCGGGGGGGGCTATCAAGTTGTTAAAATTCATAATGCTATATCAGACCAACTTCCGG